TATGAGTAGTGACAGCTGAAGCTCCTCTATTCTTCTCTTTAAGCAAATGCATGTTGCCTGTAGGTTGCATCACCACCAGCCCCCTATGACCCTGTCCATGTCCTACACTATTATGTGTGTGTGAGACATAGTAAGTGTAACCTGTGTATGAGAGAGAGAGACTGCCTTCTGTTCCCTTACTTATTCCATATTTTAACCACTATGCTGCTAATATAGATGTGTAGGCGTGTGTTCTTCCTGTTGCTGCCACATCCATTTAACCTCACCATCAACATAATTTTGATTCACCAGCCACTATGGTGGAGTACTTCCTAAACTCCACCAGCTTCTCTCTCTGCCTAACAACCCACATATGGATGTTGAACAGAAAAGATGGCGAGTTACCTGCCAATGTTGCTGCTAGACAAATTGTACCAGCTGCACCAGCCTGCAGCCTGCCAGCATTTAGCTGCTGGCTGTTGGCAGTTTAGCCGTGGAAGTGAGCGATATGAATAAAAACGCAGAACCCCCTCTGATGGTCCTGATTAGACTGGCCTTACTACCATCACACCATTACATCACAAGCTGTATTTAATCATGAAGCTGTTGAGTGCAGAGGATCCCACAGGGACTAATTTGCTATCAGAGGGACTATATTATCGTAGATGAGGGAAGCCCCCAGAGGAGACTGTAAAATCCTCAGAGACATGGCCCTGCCACGCTTCCATCGGCCGTAAATCCAGGTTACCCCCGTGTTTCTGTAATTAAGTCATCGGCCACGGAGACACCATGAGAACTGGGACAGTTTGTGTGTGAGGGAGCAGTTGGGTCAGTGGTGTGACCCAATATCATTTTTTATTTCTTTCCTTTTCTCTCTGTCAATGGAGACAAAAGACAGGCTTGGCTGTGGAGAACCTCACCCTACACTCACTCCTGTATTGAAAGGATATGGGAGTAATGGAAACATAAAGATAGAATTTTTCAAAAGAAATCCCCTTCACACCTTTCGCTTGATCTTATTGGTCAGGATAATCCTGTGGAGCAGATAGGTGGATCCGAGCCCCTGAGCTCTCTGCAGCCATGTCACAGCTATAGGCTCTGCAGGTTTGAGAGCTACTTCTGTTCACTTTAATCAGCGGTAATGCAACCCAACAGTGCATTAGGTAAATTCACTAATTAGATCCTTTCCTCTGGGTGAAGGTGTGTTGGGGGGGGGGGACTGGTAAGGCTGGCACTTTATTGTGACTCATTTGTGTTGCCTGTGGGGACTCTGAAGGGAGCCCTTGGCTTTACAGCTTGCTTCCATCTTTGGCAGTTTGTGTTGCCATGAACCCAAACTTGGGCTGAGCAGAGGTAGACTGGGTGGAACTAAGAAGGAGTGAGCTCTTTTAAATACTTTTTATGAAAGTATTAGCCTGTCATTACAGAAACAAACCTAGCTTTTTGTCTTAATACATTTTATGAAAAAATAAGCTATTTTAAAGTTGCTACAAAGACATTGTATTACTTTTTTTTTAGCCAATTATGTATTGTCTCAAATGATTTGCTGATGGAAGATTAAAGGACCAACTGAAAGATCATATTAAACCGCCACTGTCGTATCAATGGAGACACATGGATCATTTGGACTATGTCAGTGATGAGCACAACAAACACCGACATGCAACCCGATCAGTTCTTATTCAGTTATTTTGATGAAATCAGTTCTCAAAGCTATTCTTGCTGGAGCCCCTTTTCGATTCCAGCTGGTGACCTTTATTGCATCTTATATCCCCTTTCTCCCTCCCCTTTCTGTCTGTTTTTACAGGTCACTATCCAATAAAAACAAAAAACACGATACAATAAAATGATCAAAGCTATTCCTGCGTGTGCAAACAAAATGTAGTGGAGCCACTGGCATGTAGACATTTTAAGGACCAGAGGTAAAATGAAATCGGTGCATGACTTCTGTGCCAATAACACTGGGATTGGGTGATATGTGTGGTCTGTCCTGAGGGGCAGTCTCATTGAGCTTGGGGGACCTGAAAGCAATCAAGTGCCCCTCCGGTGAGACGTATGCAAATTGTAGCATGGAAGTGACCTTTTTAGAGCACAAATATATCCTGGTGACTCACAGCCAATAGTGTTAAAATTGGCGGCAGTGGGACAGCAAATGCACAGGATCTTTTCTGGTTTAAGCTTTTCCGAGGACATTGACACCAGTGCGGTGTCTCACTAATTAGGACTAACATTATGTGGATGGAATTAATCTTGTTTTCCATATTCTAGGATGCCACAATCAATTAGTAGTGCTGGGTTCTGTATATTTTGAAAAGTTTTAATATTGTGCCAGTACAATATCAGAGTTTGAGTACCAATACCAAGGAAATACTTTGGTTGATGCTATAGTTTTACCCTTTTTCATTTAACAAACTATGCCCCACTGCTCAATGCATGATTCATTATTTTAATTAGTCTGAACCTGGAAAAGTTACATTAGAGCAGGCTATCAGATACAGACTTTTCACACTTGTTGCACTGGATGCATTTTTGGTCAGAACAGGGTTCAAAGATCATATTGGAGTAGGTCTCCAGTTTTTGACCTCCACCACCCACCACAAGGATCTCAGTCTTGTTAAATTAAATCTTGTTTAATTGAAGAAAGTTTTGGGTCATCCAGTTTATAATGTTGCTGATGCTATTGACAAGATCATTCATAGGGCTGAGGTCATAATGCAAGAGTGAAATATATAATTGTGTATCATAAGCATAAGATGGTCTGATTGGTATAATGGATTCCAGAGGTAACATATAAAGATTGAACAGTAATGGGCCTAGAACTGAGTCTTGTGGGACACCACAACAAATTGAATGTCCTGCTTATTGAATGGGAGGAGACCCAGTTAATAACACAGCCGGACAGGCCAACTGAATTTTCGAATCTATTGAGTAAAATGTGTCTGTTGGCGGTGCATGTGTGTATTTGAAATAGACGTGATGACAGTGAACATGTTTGCTTGTTTGTAGTTGAGAGCCTCAGAAAGCCGTAAGCCTGGTACATGAGAGCAACTTTGCCCAAAGGTTACCATGACATCACTGCTGTGTGTGTGTGTGTGTGTGTGTGAGAACCTGCTGGTCCAAACATGCCTTGTCACATGTGTCCATGTCGCTAGTGGAGTGAAGTATTTGTGTGTATGTGTGTGTGTGTGTCACCACTGCAGATGGAAGCAGAGGGGAGTGTGTGTTTGCATTAAGCAACATTTATGCTGATGATTGACTTTTAGCTGTGAGTCAGGTTTCAGCAGAACAGGATGAGTGAGGGCAGACGACCTGACGGGATTTGACTTGGTGTGTGTGTGTGTGTGTGTGTGTGTGTGTGTGTGTGTGTGTGTGTGTGTGAGAGAGAGTGCATGTTGGCATTTAGCTCCAGTTCCCACCATCTTTCCCTCTGCTTGTGTAATTTTTTATGAATGTAACGCTCGTTCATTTACAGCCAATGCAATTTATGAGCGAGTAAATCACAGAATGTGACAAGACGGTTGAGGCTTTCCAATTAAATGAAAGATTTCCTCTCTGTGTGTGTGTGTGTGTGTGTGTGTGTGTGTGTGTGTGTGTGTGTGTGTGTGTGTGTGTGTGTGTGTGTGTGTGTGTGTGTGTGTGTGTGTGTGTGTGTGGGAACCTGACAGATTACAACCTCCCACAGTTTGCATCTGCTCTCCCCCTCATATTTTAGCTCTTATTCCCCCCCCCCCTCCTGTACTATTTATTTGTTCATAAAAATCCTTCACACTAACTGTCAGTTGTTGTGATGAAGGACGGATTGTGTAGCATTCCATTTATACATCTACGAGACACTTGTTAACGTGAGTATGGACCTGTGTATTTTTTACACATCCTGTATATATGCTGAGTTTCTTTTTCAGTGTCTCCAGTATACTATTCTGTCATTATATTTTTAATGTTTTTCTATAAAAAACATTGTATTTTTCTTCTCTAATTAGGCTCTGCTGCTGCAGAAGTCTCTCCTCACAGTTTCATTCAGTCTTTGCTCCATCTTTGGAATATAGTGCTGCATATATAATTTCTGTTGTCAGCTATTCATATTTATGTCTCGTTCTTATTTGATATTCTTGTAGAAACTGCTCTAAACAGCCCAGTTCCCCCCAAAGGGATTGTTACAGTTTTTCATCAAATCTCAGATAAAGTAAATGGGAAATGGCTTCAAGTCATTTTTCACATGCATGCACACCCACAGACAAGAACACACTCTTGCCTCTCCTGCTGCTGCAGTCTCACACACGCCACCAGTCCTCCTGCTGTTGCCTTCTGCTGACACCTAGTGACCAAACTGGGATCTGCAGGCACAGTTTGCGTCGTACACCTACAGGAAAACCTCCCTGAAAGCACCGTCAGGGTCATTAACATTACTTCTACTGATTTTGCATCAAATGAAAAAACATAACAACAAATGACAGTGTCTGTCTTTTTTATTTCTCGTTGTCCTCCTGTCACACACACTGTTGGCTCTGCAGCAGTGTGCAGCCAAGGGAGGCAGTCCTCCTCTCAATGTGTGTGTTTTTAATGTGCCCAAATTTTTTAGTAAAGCTGGCTTTGGTTGCATAACAGCATGGCCATTGTGCCTAAGAGAAATAATTATGTAATGACATGTCTTATGTAATTGCCTGTGGGTCAGGGAGGTCAAGACAGGCCCCACACTAATTTACTCCTTGTCTTTGTCATTTTCTTCACATCTGCCCTCTATCTTTCATCTTTTTTTCCTTTTTTTACTTTAAAACAATTTTGTAAGTCTTTCTAGAAAGCTCATGTAGAGTGATGACTTTGGGATCTGACCTAGAGTAAGTTATATTGTGATATTTCAGAACAGACAAAGATACACTTGATTTTTAATTTGTTTTCTCCTTGTTTTTCTCCTTTCCTCCCCTCCTGTCTTTCCCTTTCCTCTCCTTCTCACTTTTCCTCTCCTGTTTCTGTTTCATCTCCTCCCCTCTCCTCTCTCCTCCTCTCTCCTCCCCATCCTCCAGGCAGCTCCAGGAGCTGCAGAGGCAGAAGGAGATGGAGCGTGAGCGCCAAGACAGGGAGCGTCAGGAGCGGGAGCGCCTGGAGCGAGAGATGCTGGAGCGCGAGCGGCAGGAGCGCGAACGTCAGGAACGGGAACGTCAGGAGAGGGAGGCGCAGGCAGAAAGGGAGCGTCTGGAACGGGAGCGCCAGGAGCAGCAGGAGCGCGCCGAGCATGAGCTGATGGAGAGGGAGAAGGCGGAGAGAGAGCGGCTGGAGAGGGAGCAGCAGGAGCAGTTGGACAGAGAGCAGCAGGACTGGGAAAGAGGGAGACGCATCTCCAACGCCGGTGAGTGGTTGGTTTCCTGCTTATAGACACACACACTAAGGTTTGAGTTTTTCAGGGCCAATATTGAGACAATCAAAGTGGAGTTGTGCAGAGTTTTGTTAATTTATAAAATGTTAAAATCTTCTTGCTACTCTGATCAGTAGATACAGCTTGTCTTGAGAAGAGCGTTATGTTTGTTTGGCATGGAGTCCTTTAAGAAAAGCTTCAGTTGTGTGCTGCTTGGCAGAGGCAGATAGCAGCTGCATGAATATATCAGTTAATACTGAATATTAAATATTTTAATAAGGAGCTTTTTCCTTTCTGAATTTCTATCCAAAGTTTTGAACATAGCTTGTTTCTTGTATTAACAGTGTGTGAATTTCAGTGTGTCCCAATTCCACACTACATCCTAACTGTATACAGAATGCTATACATAACTTCTTAGTATAGTGGTATATTGTATATGTGGTTATGCAGTTAGTATTCATAGAATACAACTAACCGACCTGTTTGACACGAACAGGAAATTATACTGTAGAGCACGGGTCTCCTGCCTGAAAGCACCTGGTAGTCCACGGAGTCCACAGAGCATGTTCTCTAATCTCTCTCTATGGTATGGTTTTTATTCATTAAAATAAGTATATTGAGACTAGCTTTTATTCCATGTTCTGAGTTGAAACCATGCTATTACACCTATTCTGGCCTGCATCTGGAGTTCATTCTGGGTCCCAAATGGTGGCCTCAGCCCTTGCTGACTTTCTCTGAGCTGCACTTTGATTTTCATGCTCTATAAATGAATTGGTTTACCTTGATTAGGCGAGCTTTGACTCTCGGTTCATATCAGTAGATTTCTCCTAAGATCCTTCAGTGTTAATACCCCAACCAGAACTTCCACACCTGCAATCTCAAACCAAATTGGTTCAACCCTGAATATAAAAAATGGCTTATGGTAAAATACACACTGCTGTGTAAATTAACATGTTCGTCAAGTACACAGAGTAGCCCTCCCAATAATTTTCTCCCTTAAGGTAGCCCTCGCTTTCAAAAAAGGTTGGAGGCCCCTGCTCTAATGCATGTCAATCAAACTGACTTTAGAGTGACCCTGCCAATGACATTTCTCAAACACACATGAAAATGTTTATTCCTAGGATGGAATAGTACTGAAATGTTTTCTGCTGTTTTGCCACCGTCACAATATTTGCTTTAACTTGAGCAGCTTCTATATGCAGGATTACTGTTATATTATGAGTACATTGTGTTTCACTAACTTCAAGTGTTAACTCTTCTCTCACCGTCCAAAAACAGCCACTAGATCCAGGACTAGAAGCATGGGGAGGTTGATACCCTCTGACTGGAAAGCAGTTTTCTGCCTCTTTTCCATTCCAGTGCTAGAATTGTTAGTTTCCTTTAATTGTTAGCGCTAAGCTACAATACAGCCCACACTGGCTCATGTGCCCATAGGCTGGGCAGGCGCTATGAACAGATTGCTAAGGCACTGGGGCATGGGGGGAACGAATGTGTGAGTCTTTGCATGCCACTTTAGGGGTGAGTATTATTTCAACACTTCACTCACACGTCCTAAAATTTAATGAAGGTGTGATGCTGGCGGTGTGCAGGACACCTTGGTCTGTGGGGGAAAAAACAATTTCCTCCCACAAATTCGATTTTTATCTCGTCAGTGAAGTTAAATATCTGAAGCTTAGAGCATAAACAGCTCGTTTTGATTGTTTTTCATGCACACTCATAGCTCAGCTCAGCCAAGTTTAAAAGACGAGTAATATATTTTGAGTCCTGTGTAGTGCACACACTTAAATCCAGCAGCAGGGAGCAGGAGGAGCCGCAGGTGGAACACACTCTGTTCATAAACTGGATCTGTAATGGATCAGGGCCTGGCCGTGTGATGGCAAATCCACTAAGTTTAAGGACTGGGTCAGTAGGGAAGGCAGCATTGTGTGGCACGCTTCAGTGCCATGATCCGCCTATTAGCATATGCATGCATAAACACACACACAAATATACACACGCACGCACACACACACACACACACACACACACACACACACACACACACACACACACAGGCAGACACAGTTCAATGTTGTTACTCAGAGGCTAAAAATACATCATCAGTGAGAATGCTGGTGAGACCCCCAGGGATGAATGTGTGTGTTTGTGTGTGCGTGCATGCATGTAAATGCCCCAGGATGGGAGGGATGAGTTATTTCACGTCATACACAGTAAGACACAGAAAGCAAGCACACCAGAATGCTGGAGCACACACATAGTACACACACATTGTTTCCTTTACCTTTCTCAATGTCTAGGAAATCAGCTTTAATCAGTGACGTGAGTGATGTGTTTGTTTTTGGCCCATCATTTTGAGAAATAACGTCTTGCACCTGTTTTACCCACACACTTACAACAGAAGAACACTTTGCACATCTATTTCATGAGACAGGTGTGTAGGTGTAACTAGGTAGTAACGAGTGGATCAATAGTAGACATATAAACTCCCACGCACTGTCTGACTTGCAATAATACATTTATTTGGGACGTTTTGGTGCTACACCTTCATCAGGCAAATGAGAAGCCGTTTTAAAGGTCCAGTGTGTAACATTTAGGAGGATCTATTGGTGAAAATGGAATATAATATTTATATGATTTCATTAGTATATAATCACCTGAATATAAGAATCATTGTCTTTTCATTACTTTAGAATGAGCTGTTTTTATCTACAGAGGGAGTGGGTCCTCTTCTACAGAGGTCACCATGTTGAACAAAAACAGAAATGTGTGTACTTTCTTCTCCTTATATTTTCAGAACAGGCTGTCAGTTTGTTACTTTGCAATTACTGTATTTATTTATTTTTTGCTTCATTGCACTGCAAAAACAGCCCTTCTAAAACAGGCGAAATATTCTTAAATACAATAAAATTTTCTTTTATTAAGCAAAGATCAGCCAATGGGGTGAACTAGAATTAGAGACCAACATAAAGATCTAACCACTGAAAGACTGTAATGGGCCTTAAAAACTAGAAAAAAACGGCAAAAATGTAAGCAAGTAGTGCTCATTACAAGCAATAAAAAACTTTAAATCTTTCTTAAAAGAAGGATTTAAGTCACTTTACTGAGCTGCTGGTTAAATCAAGCTCAATATTAGCTGTAATATCTTAGATATATTTTCCTAAAACCAGATTACCTTTCTAATACAAAACATGCTTCACCAGATTATTTTTCTTTTTAGACTAAAAATACTAGACTAATTTCCCAGAAACAAGGCTTTTTTACTTTCTTGAGATTCCTGTTTTTTGGAGTGTGCACGCCTTCCCAACATCGAGACCTGTGCATTTCACGCATAACAGACGCAACAAAAACAACGTAAAAGACACAGACTCAACCTTATTTGAAGATTCAGTTAGCTTTGCATGGAAACAGACGGCATAAATGTCCTTCAGAGAAACCAAGAGAGTGCCTTTATGCTTTGAGTACATTTCAGAAACTGTACTTTTACACGAGTTAAGAAGTTGATTCAGTACTTCAGTACAAAGAATGTGTACACTTCTTCCACCTCTGGCTGTGGTACAGAGGAGCTCGGCTGCTGTTATGGCTTTGACGTCTTCTCGTGTGTGTGCATGTGTGCTTAATATTCTTGTGTGCACGTGTCCAGCTCTCCGTGTAATCGGTGTGTTCTGATGGTGCGTTGATCATCATGGAATGGCAGAGCAAAGCTGGGGCCTCTCAAGTCACATGACCCGCCCAGAGCTACACACAGACACACAGACTGAAAGAAGAGGGAGGTGGTGGTAAAATAATGAAGAGGGGTGGAAAAGGTCACAGTTCAGTGAGAGGAACAGGGGGTGAGGGTGACGAGGAAGGAGAGGGTATCATCTAACGGTGCAGAGCAGTGATGGAAATGAAATTGAAAAAGTTGGCAGAGGACGAAGGAAAATTCTGGGTTAATGGAAAAGAGATGCAAGAGAGAAATTGCGTGTGCGGTGGAGTGGAAGTCGGGATGAACATCAACTCCAGTTAGAAGAGGATAAATGGTAAATGCAGCATGAGCTGTCAGAACGTTCAGCTGGGAGAAGAGAAGGGAAGAGAAGTTGCACAGAGGAAGGGAAGCTGGAAAGGAGCCAGGCAGAATCCATCAGTTCATCTGTCTTGTGACTGCTGGTTAGGTGTTCACATGAGTTCCAGTAGTGTTCCTACTGTGTGTGTGTGTGTGTGTGTGTGTGACCCGGCACAGTCAGGTCATGGTGCTGGTGTGTGTGTGAGAGAGAAGGTCTGTGTGTTATGTCCACTTAAGCATCTGAACATATGGGTTTGAACCACGTCTCTGAGTCGGTGGGTGATTTAGGTTTATTGTGCCTTCGACCTCAAGTAGCTGATTAAATAAAGCACACAACATAAAGTATGAGACAGAAACTGAACATCTAATTGACTGCAATAAAAAATCCATCACTGAAAATGATGGCAGTGCAATAAATTCAAAAGTGCAGGAGTGCATCACTGGCAAAGGGAAGTGGAGCAGAAGGTGAACAGAGGATTAACAACCTTACACCATCCCCACACACACACACACACACACACACACACACACAAAACATATGGCAGCTCCATACAACAGCGTCCAGGCTACGCTAAGCGCTACAGTCGCACATAAACAAACACAATCTAGGTAATGAGTGTGATCAGCAGGGATAGACACGTAATCAAACAGGGGAGGACAAAATCCCCACATTTAAATGAGCCACTCCTCATAAACCCTGCTAAAGAGAATATAGGCCATTAAGATCTGTAAAGTAGAGACGTGGGTGTAAGGTTATTATGAAAAGAAAGCCAGATGATAAAAGAGTTTAGATAGTAAGGAGTAAAACTAACAGCAAGGCTAGCAACAGAACTAAACACAGCTTCAATTATTCAAAGAGAGGACTCGGGTAGCATGGGAACCTGACACTGGTAACCAGCCCCAACGCTGCCCACCGTACTGGAAGTATACAATAAACAAACGAGACATTACACAAGATAACAAGATTCACTATGGGTGACACAGGAGAGAAGGGTCTGCTGTTGGCTAATGGGGTTCACGCCATCAGAGCGCCCCCCCTCAGTGAACAAGATATCGACATTTACAGTGTATTCTATACTAAACTAGAGGTAAATGTGTTCATGTTGGCACTTTGAGTGTGTTGCAGTCATTGCAAAGTGTAAGCAGATCTACACTAAAGCAACTAATATTGTACATGTTAAATGTAATTTTTGTACGTTAAAATATACAATGACAGTCAAAATAGGGCCTAATTCATAGTCCTCCTCTTTAAAAACAACCGGGCTGGCTACCAGAAACTTGACAGAACAATCACGCTTGAGAGCGAATTTAGGGATTAAAAAGCTTGCTCAAAGACACCGCAGCAGTCAGTTCACATGCAGTTTGTTTTCCTTTCGAATGGGATGTTGCTTCCAGAATGAAGGTACTGCACACAGTTTCAACTACTGAATTTGTTGTTGGCTCTCTTTGTTTTGGCAAGCGTTCCATTAAGTGGAGCATTTTGGGTCTTTGGGTAAATGTGGTTAAATTCTATGTCTGACTTGATGTCCCCCTGCAGACTGAACAGGCTTGATGACGGTGGTTACTGTTCTGTGCCTGTGTGCTACGTGGTAAACTATCGCTCCTCTCAACTTTCCTCCTCAGTCCGTTTGTTTTCCCCTCTTCTCTCTATGAAGACTACGACAGCTTTGTGTCTCTGGCTCTCTCCACTGTGCTAATACCTGTCCACTAACACAGTAGCATCACCTCAGTCCAAGAAAGAACACACAACCTGGAATAAAACTTTGGTATAGCTCTGTGCTGGTTTTTCCTGCTTCATCGGCCCCCTTCTCTTTTTTCCTCTCTCCCTCCTTCCTTCTCTCTTTCCTGACCTGCTGTCTTTCCCTCCTGTGTGCATGACGGCTGCTTCCTTCCGGCCTTCTTTCCTTCCTTCCTTCCTTCCTTCCTTCCTTCCCGTCGCTCCCTCCCTTCTGTCCTGTCTTGTCCTTGGTTTGTCCATTTCGCGTGGCGTTCTTTTAGCCTTCGAAAGCACCCTGTACAGTCCCACGCCTCAGGAGTACAGCAGGACGTCCTCCACGCCTGTATCTCCATCCACGCCCACCTACCCAGCTCCTGGGACGGCGTCGCCCTCCTCCACCACTCCCCCGACCCCGCCTCTAAGGCATTCGGCCTCCAGATTCGCCACCTCACTCGGTTCTGCCTTCCACCCGGTCCTGCCTCACTACGCCACGGTCCCAAGGCGACAGCAAGCCTTTCCCCAAGCCCCGCCTCCCGCCCCTGCTCCAGCCCCCGCCCCTGCTCCACCTCCCCCGGCCAAGTCCGTGGTGTGGTCGGCGTGCAACTTCACTCCTCTGCCACCCTCACCCCCTGTCATGATAAGCAGCCCCCCAGGAAAGGCCGCAGGTCCGCGGCCGCTCATTCCCATTGCGGCACCTTCCCCTCTTACCCAGAAGCCCCCCTCGCCGGCCCCCAATGGCCCGCCCATGTTCCCTGCGCCTTCCCCCGTGACCATCCCGCACAGCCACACCCCCCATTGGCGTCGCCTGCCCCACCCCTCCCCCCACCACCCACCCCACCCCCTCTCCCCTCCCCCATAGCTCCCCCTCCGTCTTCCTCCTCCGTCTCGTCTCCCCCCCCCTCCTCATCCCAGGCTCCTGGTGTGCCCTCTCCCTCCACAGCACCCCCCGCTGCTGCAGCCGCCGCCACCTCTGCCTCTGCTGAGCACCTCTCCCTCCCCGTGGGCCTGGGCCTGTCGGGGCCGGGGGAGCCGGACACAGCTACAGGCCCAGAGCCACACCTGCCTCAGTGGGGCTCCACCTGTCAACCCCAGCCCCAGGGTAAGGCCTCCAGTCCGGACTGTCTTTCTCACTGCCTCTCTCCCCTCTGCCTTTCACTGCTTTTTGACTCACACACTAACAGGGGTGGGGGTGGGGATGGGGGGGGTGGCGGCTACTGAACACTGTTGGATCTTGCTACTGAACTGGCCACAGCACAAAGTGAGTCCCATAATACAGGCTGATGTCAGAGGCTTTCTTTTTAGCAAAATGTCAGTCCTGGCTGCTGTAACCTGACTCCAGATTTAATCTCCAGAGTGACAATTCTGGCTGCATTAAACGCTGCTACGGTGACTATTGTGGGATCTCCTGGTGTAGCAGTTGTTCAGGCCTGTCTAATTTCTTTGTCACTCTCATAAACTGCATGTACGTCAATGTGCTTGCTGCGTAAAGGCCTGGCCGGCTGACTCTTCGTTGGATATGAAATATGTCGTGCGTGGCATGTCTGTCTATTTGTGAGTAATGTGTTGTTCCGTGGATACAGATCACTGACCGATGTCTGCACACAACCACTGCCTTCCTCATATCTTGGTTGTTTTTCTTCCGTCAATCCATTTCTCAACCAAAGTTCAGCATTTCTTTCCACCTCTGTGTTGATGTTATCATTTTGCCATTTGATTTTCCCTGTTTTGACACTTTGCTGAGTGTCCTCCGGCCAGTCAGGCAAACCCCCCCACTGCCCTGTATCTAGTCACAACAGGATGCTCTTTGACAATCCTATGACCAATTCCAATTGTCATTGCCGTCTAGTTGCTGAACAATGTTGTAATTGATTTCCCAATTTTTTCATAAAAAATTAAATACTTACATTTCGCAGTTAAAGCTGCAGTAGCTAACTTTTATAAAAATAACAGGAGAACATGACACAGATCATCTGTGAAAAAATTAGCATTTAGTATTAGACGACTTGGGAATCAGACTCAACCATCAACTATCTGTCTTCGCTCTGATTGGTTGTTTTCGTTCAAGCCTTGGTTTCTTAGAAATGCCATTAGGAGCGAAAGGAGGAGCCAGAGGAACCTGATTTTTTCACAGATTATGTGTCTCATGTTCTACTGTCAGGATATTGTGAAAGTTTCAGCAAATATGACAAAGTTTTTTCATAAAAGTTACCTACTGCAGCTTTAAATTGGAATTTTAAAAGGAAGCTTTATTACATCACCAAATATGGAAACAATAACAAAAAATTCACTTGTAAGCTCAGTTCATTAAAATAAAACATCAGATTTTCAGCATTTTTATGCAAATGAACCAGCGTTCCACTGACCTTTATCCCTTGGCATTTCACTCATTAGCTGCAGGGAGTGTTCTAATGACCTTTGACCTCAGAGATTGTCAAAGTGATTGCCTGCAAGGGACTGGACTGCTGGTTTAATATTGATCACAGCACAGCATGTTAACATTCCATCATAGATTATGGATTGAGTAGGTCTGATGAGAAGTGGGAGCAACATGATTATTATCCTCAGAGGACATAAACATGTGCAAAATGGACAAAACTAGTTTGTATTTCTTAGATTACAAATATGATCATCTCATGGATATTTTTATATCATTCCGTTGGTCATTATGTGTTATTTTCAGTGTGTCATGGCACCAAAAAGTGTTTTTTTTAATTTCATGCTCAGTGTTGACTGTTTCCTTTCTGCTCCATTTATTGTTATACCTTCCAAATCGGGTTGGGCAATTAAGTGTACTGTTTATCACTTTGATTACTGTGTACATGTCTAACCACTTTGTCGTGTTGCACAGCCCTACTCCTAACTTCAGCCGCCACCACTGTCACTAACACTGCATGATGATAGAATAAGATGCTGTGATGTGATGTGGCATGCTGTCATATTGAATAAGTGTACTCCATCTTCCGTTTCATTTGAAAATGACATCCACCATTATTGCACTACAAATGTAAAAGGGTGTAACCTGTTTGAAACATTGTTTAATGCTGCTCTGTTTTTTAGGTCTCAGCAGATTTGTCAGATAATACAATAATGCAATGATGTATAGTGAAAGAGCATTTGGCAGGGGGGTGATAAACCAGAGAAATTATTTTCCAAAAGTGAAACCAGTGTATGCTGACTTCTGCATTTCTATATGGAAAGTGTCAGATTTAAGATGATGAACTGATTTCCAGCTCAGTTTAGACAAAGTCAACCTGTTTTTGCTGTGTAATAGTTTCCAAAAATGTGACGTTTGAACTTAAATATCCATCCCTGTGTCTTCGCCCATCCCCCCACCCTCTATTCCCTCCCCCAACAGACGTGGTGCAGACCCCAGGGTTGACCACCCCGACCCCTCCCCCACCTCCACCCCTGCCACCCGGCTCCACTGTGACTTCCGCGGCCGCCACCCCAGCCGCCACCCCCACCACCCCCGCCGGCCACCCTCCCCCCGCCCCCGCCTCCTCCACTCCCTCCCACGCTGACTCCAGGCGGGACCCCCCTCCCCCACCAGGTCCACCTCCTCCTCCCGGAGCCCCACCCCCTCCCCCAGCGCCTCCCCTCCCCGCCGGACTGTTCTCTCCTGCGGAGGACCACCCCATCTCAGGTCTGGCCGCTGCCCTCGCCGGAGCCAAGCTGCGCAAAGTGCCAAGGGTGAGCGCTTGATTGGTTATTTGATCAATGGAAGGCTTGACAGCCCGTGTCTGCACTCATATAGCTCTTCCTATCTGCACTATATAGGTTCTAAAAGCTGTATGGAGATGATGAGCTGCGTGCGCTCACACACAGTTTCAATCTCTGTGTCCTTTCCAGTTGATACACACAGCCCTCTCACCTTATCATAATTGCACAGAATCACTGTCACTGAAACGTTCACACACATTTTCCATGTTCACGCATGATCACACACACACACACACACACACACACACACACACACACACACACCATCTGTCAAATCTCATCTTAGACTCATGGGAGATTTACATGTATTGCTGACAGACTCCCTGCAAACATAGATCATGACAAAATACCCAAATCTACTAAATGTTTCAATATTTATGGCTTTTTATTAAAGGACAACATAAAAAAGATATATATGTTTACAATTCTTATATTTTTCTCAAAATGGGGCGATGGCTTTCCTCTGATTGCAAAGAACTCGTTACATTCATTTGTGTTTGACAAGAGACGTTGCTGTCCGTATCCCTTCAGAGTGACGATGCAGGGGCAGCTTTGGCAGCAGCCATATTGGGTGCTGGAGGGGCCGCGGGGGCCAAATCTGAAGCCAGAGGCAACGGCCCTCTGCCCGGAGGAGGAGGGCTTATGGAGGAGATGAGCGCCCTATTGGCCAGGAGGTAGAGTCACATCACATGCTATTGTTAGCCTCAAGCTAGGCGCACACACTTAGTGTTTCAAATGAATTCCAGCTCTTGTTGTTAAACTTTCAGGATTTGAAAATGTGTTTTTAAGCATACTTTGGTTCTTATTTTTTTCTTAATGTGTGTTTATTTTGTGGTGATACATTTCTGGCAACACCCATCAGATCCCTTTGGTCCTTACTTTCTTATTTATAATTCAAGTAATTCATACTGCTACATTATTATATAACTATTACATGGGTTTATTTGCTGAATTTTGAAGATAGCACATGAAAAAAAAACAAAAATTTACCCAAATAAAGGGAGTTTACAGAAGGGTTAGCTACTGTCCATGATGAGAAAAGCAATTAGGTAATGCCTAGAGCAACCACAATTAGTCGGTTAATTTATTGTTGTATGTTATATATAATTTTGCGCCTTATGTGAGCTGTTATGTCTTTTATTTATGATGTCTTGTTTATTCTTCTGTACAGCACTTTGGTCAACTTTGGTTGTTTTAAGGTGCTTAACGATTGGATTGGATTAATTGATTAGTTGCCAACTATCAAATGGATTGCCAACTATTTTGAGAATCTGTTCATTGTTTTAAGTTTTAAGGTAAAAATTATAAAAATTCTCTCAAATGTGAATATTTTCTGGTTTCTTTAGTCCTCTATGGCAGTAAACTAAATGTATTGGTTTGTGGACAAAACCAGACATTTGATATTTTACATTAGGCTTTGGGAAACAGTGATCAACATTTTTCACAATTTTTTGACATTGTATAGACCAAACATCAAATCAATTAATTGAGAAAATGAAAACAGTCGCCCTCGTAGTGCTTAACATGACAGATGAGACACACGTAGATCTGAAAGAAATGGTTTGAGCTCTTTCGATGAACCTGGGCTTTATATCTTACAGGAGAAGAATTGCAGAGAAGGGCTCGTCACCTGAACCCGACCAGAGATCAGTAAGTATCATCTCTGATCTCTCATGTCTGTGATATCTACATTTTGTCTGATTTAGGTCCAAATATCATTACTTGCCGCTCACTGACTGCTCAATCACACAATAGCTCCTCTGTGTAATAACACACGGTTTCCTCAGTGTGTCCATGCTGTACATGGAGCATTCACTACATTCCGTCTCTGCAATGAGTCCTCTATCACTCACTGCTTTATCTGTGCGATAGTCTGCGGGTCTTGTGTGGATGTCATGTAACACATTCCAGTCTGTAATTGTTACTTTCATGTACCATGAAGTCTCAAATCCTACTATAGAACCAGGCCTTTATTTAAAACAGGCTTATATTAGACTGTATTTGCCATGTATACATGTGTTTTATCATATTTTAGTAATTAAATGTAATTAAACAAACATTCTGATCTGTTCCCAGTTTAATTGGTGATGTTTTTCTCTTCATGCAACACTCCTGATTCAGTCTAATGTACATTTCCACAACACAGATTCCATCAGTACACACTTACCACTCTGTCTCTGAGTTTCTCTCTTACGACAGAAAGGCTGTTTTCATTTGCTAATCAATTCCACTCACTTCCACTCAACTGTTTTTTCAAATCGCATTTAAGCTAACGTCAACGAAACTGAATACTTCCCCCACATTAAAAAGTCTTCCAGCAGCTCAAAGGGCATAATCCCCCCCGTTCCTTGTAGGCTTTTAATGTGACCCTAACCCTAACATCTGCAGGAAATGCTGAGTTTTATCAACTGTATCTTTTTAGAAGAATTTCCACTTTTCTTCAGTGTGCATATTTTGCATGTTTTCTGATTTTAAAGAAAGTTTTCCTCAAATTAAAACAATTGCTCAGTCATTTTCTTAGTTTTTAGGTCGTCACAAATCACATCATCAAGCAGCATTTGCACGATTATGATTTACACCTCAATAAAAAGAAATGTACACACAAATGGTTGTGTTGGTGTTGTAGGGATTATTCTTTCTTTGTCTTCATCTCTGGTGTTTTCAAAAGCTACTTGTGTGTCTTAATGTTACTGGTTAAACACAGATTAAGCCTTACTCCCCTCTCCCGACTGTCTAAAAGATAACCCATATCCCTGACTATCACCACGAGGTACATTTGTGTCCCTCTGAGTGCAACTCATCTTTGACCTTTGAACCTCTTCTGCCTGTCCAACAGGAGGAGGGCGAGATAAACACAACCCCTAAAATGTCAGCCTGTAGCACACCAGGTGAGTGTCAGAGAGAACCAACACTCAGTGTCTGAAGACTGGGGGGGAACATCAGCAACAGCGACAGGAATTAATGATGCATCTTCCTAACGCAGGCGACGAGGATCCAAGTTAGCATCACAGCAAATCTGTTGTTCTTTGGTTATTTAACAGCTTTTTAAAGATGGTTACAGTGGAATTTGTTTGTAGCTGGACTTCATGTCATACTGCAAGAGTTTGTTTTTCATAATTCTTTGTTTTTGTCCAGACATGCCCAGGAAGCCATGGGAAAGAACAAACACCATGAACGGTAGCAAATCTCCAGTCATCGGAAGGTACAGTTCCTCCCCACATCTCTTCCATTGTGTTATTGGTTATGTATTGTTGTGCTTAAAGTACATTTTATATCATATATATATATCCAAAGTTTCATTGTCAAAAGTATATGCTCACATTATTCATGCTCACTGCCCACCTGAATGCAAGCAGCGATGCCACTAAACCTCATTTCCCAGTAAACGAGACGAGGGCATATTAAAGCAATAGCATCAGCTAGCTTTAGCATGATGCACCGCTGGGGCCGTTCAACACTGGCTAACATCACTAAAGCTTATGTCGCCTTCGTGTGCACGTGAGATGTGCGTCACACAGCCAACTTTAAGCTGAGGTCTCTTGTGCGAGTGGAGAAGTCAAATTTAGCTAAGCACTTATCAAGACTCTGTCTGAGTGTGTCACAACCACAGGTACACTCTAAAATGTGGGACATTCATCTGTTAACATCTAGCACAGAGGTTTTCAAAGTTGGAGGCTCTAAACTGTTTCAGCAAAGGCTAAGTGAATGAAAGTGAAATTAGTTATCACATAGAATTGCCTAAATGTATGTGATTTGGTTAAAGAGATAGTAGAGATACAGTAGTTTTGGGGAATTTCTCTATTTTTCCTACTTTCTCAGAGTCAGAAACTAATAAATGCTTTAGGACAGACCTTTTTTATGTGTTTGATGTAGTCTGAAGTTATATCCAAATAACATAATCATGTTCCCAAAGGCATCTCGGAATTGAGCCAAACTAAGTCAACTAAGGAAGGGGGAAGTAGGGACCCCTTTTTTATGACGACCCTTGACTTAGTGACATATTTTTTGAATATTTCAGATTATATTCAAAACTGTATGATGAACCCAAACGGTGAACTCAGTAACTGCGGGAACTTAGTGAAAAACGAATGATTTGGATGAATTTAGAGCAGATTATTTCCTGTTTAGGGAACTTTGTAAAACAATTATCTGTCTGTATTATGTATTTTTATGTTTTTTTAACAATCATACAGACTTAACAGGCTACTTTTTTTTGACAAATTCAGTGTTTTCTGTCCTGACCCCCAGGTTGTTTTAGCTCATTAGGGTAGAAAAACATAGATTTTCACTTAATGCCCTCCATACACCTTAAAAGGCATTGTCTGCAGTGGTAATTCTCTACCCCAGTAAACAAATATGGGCATCTGGAAGTTGCTAAGTCAATATATGACTAGAACATGCTCACAATTATAAGTAAACAGATCTATGGACAATGCAGTCAGGGCCTTATAATGCCAGTTGTGAGTTGCCAGATAGTTGCTGATCATACTTTTACTTCCAGATCCTACTGTAGTGCTTATTTAAGATCACTAAAAGATTCTTCAGCTATAAGATACTACTGGGATCGAACAGTGCTAAAGGTTCAGTACGTTCTTCTCCATTAAATCCCAAGGAAGTGTAAAAATGAGTGTTTTGAATAAACAATAAAGCTGAGTGGGCGTTGTGAACTGACCCAGGGCTGTCTCATCAGACTTAGATAGATACCACATTTGTAAAGTCAGTGTCTCTGCTGCTCACACAGACGAGAGTCTCCGTGGAGAAATCCCATTGGAGCAGACTCCTCCAACAGGTAGAGAGAAGAGAGAGAGAGTTTGAGAAATCCTTTTCTTTAAAACAACCTCCTTTCCCCCCGCCCCCATCGAGGTTTGCTGTGCTGGACGTGGTTGTTGTTGGAGAGGGGTTATTTTCGAATGCTTGGATGAAACGTTTGGAATGAATCCTGTGTTGTTGTCTTTGTCTTCTTTTCCAAATTTACCAGCCTGCAGGGGCCAGCTATGTGCGTCTGTTTGATATCTGCCATTTGGTCCAATATGTCGTGTTTTCTAAAGCAGTCATTGTCTGTATGATGGACCTCCTAAAGTAATCTAGTTGTTGTTTGTGCATGCTGCTCTGCCCGCTGCCCTCCAAACTCTTCTCTTTTTTTTCTCTAAAACAAGGAAATCCATATGTGTGCGTCACACACTGTACACCCACCCTATCATACACACAGACAGAGAAATGAGTGTCCGCCCAGTGCCGAGTAGACTTGGCACAGTATTATCATTGTAGAGCCAGAGCAGATCCGGCATGCAGTCCCCGATAAGGCCCTGCTGTGTGTGTGTAAGTGTATGTGTGTGTGCACGCATATGCACAAGAGAGGAGGACAGATGGGCGTTTTTGATTCCAGCTCATTAAAAGTGACTTTAATATGTGACCCACAGTAAGACCACATCAACTTGCAGCTCTGCACATGTTTTAGTAGTATTTTATGATAGTGAACTCCTACAGAGCAGGGTCTTAATACAAGGGCCTTAAAATGTATAAAATATGATTACAATATCAGGTCTTAAAAATCTTTTGTATTAATAAAGTTAATGTAACTTTTAATTCGCTTTTAAATGTGTTTTTGGGAAGATTTATCATTCTGTAACAACTGCAAAACGAAACTGACATGGACTCGATACCAGTTGTCCTTCATATCCTTCGTACTTTTTTTTGTCAGTTTGGATGTGAAATAGGTCTTAAATTACATTCATAATGGTCTTAAACCGTCTTAAATAATCCGTTTGCACCCTGCACAAACCCTGTCCTAATGATACGGATTAAATCATACAGACACATCAGATTGAACAAATATACTGATATAATATTTCCCCAATTTTTTAATATTGTACAGAAATGTTATTGGACTGAGTGTAAACTAATTGAATCTATATCAGCTTCTCTGTTTCTTTAGTTCTGTGCTCCGTATATAATATTTCCACCGGAAACACTCAACTAAAGGACCATAAACTTAATTTCCATGTTCCCATGTACAGTATTTCCAACACAGAGCCACTAAATGACCTGCTGAGCTAATTTCCTCGTCTTTCACTTCTGCTTCCTGTCACACTTCCTCTCTTGAAAGTGATTGGCCACTCGGTGAGTTTTCCCCCCTGATGTTTCTCACGTAAAGTAGAGAGCTCTCTCGGCGTAGCTGCACCTACAAGCTCTCTGCTCACTCGCTGCCATCCTCCTGGCTGTATCGCCTTTATTCATGTGTGAGAAGAAAAAAAAGTGTAATAGGTTGCACCTAGCAGGTTTCATTGATACTGAAAAAAATGGGATGTGTGTGTTTAGCTTTTGTGTGTGTTTACATGCATGCCTAGGTGAGTGTGCTCTTCTCCACTGTGTGTGCATGCTATTACCAGGATTTGGTTCCTAACTGCAGTTTGGCAGCATTCTCTTAACATTTTACATCAAACTGAACAAACATATAAACTCTACAGGTTTTTGCCAACAAAAAAATGAGGAAAGAGCTTTCTTGGATGTGATGACGGTTCAGGGTTGATTTTCCTGTTAAAGGTTTCCAAGCAGAAAATGCTGAAACCACACAGGACACAGAAAAGTCACCAGGCTGTGAAACTATCTATATATACGGAAGGTTATTGCTGCCACACCAGAAAAATAAAAAAGCTAGTAACATGGCAACAGGCGTGGCAGCAACATGCTTCCGTAAATAGCCACCTTCCGGATGCTGCTAATATTTAGTAGTAGTAAAAATAGTAATAGTTTATGTCATATGTATCATACTCCAAGCTTGTGGAGTTTTCCATCAGTTGCTTCATTATGTTAGCACAAGTTAGAACTATTTTAGGTGTTGATATGAAGTCAGATGCTGTGGTTTGAGTGATCCTACTAAATCCAAAATGTGTATTTATTTGGTAGACATGATAATATTGTAGCAACCTGTGTTGATCTTTGAGCATCTGGTTTTTCTCTTCATCCCTGGCTCCTTTTCTTTCTATTACACTCAGTTTCTGTTCTTGTCTCTCCTGGCAGACCTAAATCCACTCCTACACCTACTGCATCCTTAAGTGCCAACGGTGTGCCAACAGAATCTGTTGACTATGACAGATTGAAACAGGTGGGTGAACACATTTGAGTAATTATTTCATCACTGTACATTATGGGTGGGGATATTATACTGTCATGTAATTAATCGATGTGCAACTTTCTGTGTGGTATTAAGTTGTAAAGCTGAGAACAGACTACATCAAACGGGCTGTTTAAAAGGTTTCATCCTTTTTATGCTGCACTTCTTCCTCATGCTTTAATGTATTTAACGCTTTAATGAATCCTGTCTGTCAATCTGTCAGTAGTTAGCGATAATTTAAAAAAAAAATATTATTTCACTGCCCTTTTTCTCCCTCCTTCTGGTTTCAGCAGCTACTGTAGCTACTCAGCATGGAGACCATTACACTGAATGATATCCACACAGATTTGATCATTAAGTTTGTCTGAAACGCAACTTTTTGTGTGTTTTACTTTAATATGCTGCACAAAACACCACCATGATGGTAGATATGTAAATGATATGAGGATTACATGTAAATCTTGGTCTATGATACCAAAATTGGTTTCATTGATGACCTGCATATTAAGAATGGTAATGTTAAGGTGCAGTTAAAAACATTGTTTCTTTCATGCACTGGTCAGTTTTGAGATTTTGGCTAACTATGCAGCCCCGTTACTAGTATACTGGTGAGGGTGTGTGCAGTGAGCCGTCCTGTTATAAGGCAGCTCCTCCCTCTGACCCCTGTGAATGAGCCTGTTAGATAAGTCCACAGTCACTCTGAGTCCTGCCTATCTGTCACTACAACTGCTCCCAGCACCCTACAAACCCACCTCTATACCCACCGTCATTATCACTTTCCCATTCAGTGTGATTTGGAGGCAGAAGAGTACATCTGAAGCTTAAGGCTCATAAGAGTGATTTACCCACATACTCTCCTCTGTCACTTTGTTTACGTGTTGCTGTCATTAAGTGAGTCTTTAGGACTAATCTCACAGGGATTCCCTACACAGGGATTAGCTCTTCCTTAAAGAAGACAGAGACTCTCCCTTTGCCAGTTGGCAGGTCCTCCACCCAACTAAATCCAACAGCCAAAAGAAGCTCTATCTGTTAATGACTATCCACGGGGAGCTGAAGGTGGAAATGAGAGCTGCTAGGTGGCACAAGACTGGTTTCTCTCTCATGTTTGAATGAAGAAGTGACGTTTTGTTTCTGTTTTTTAGGACATTCTGGATGAGATGAGGAAGGAGCTGTCGAAGCTAAAAGAAGAGCTCATTGATGGTAATTATCATCGAAACCTGTGCTTTCACACACACACACACACACACACACACACACACACACACACACACATCAGGCATCCTGCAGAAAGAGCAGCAAAGACGTTCATCTATAGACAGGAAGTGAACATGCATACTCAGAAACACACAGTAAGGTAGAGTATTATTATGACTCATAAGTTATAGCAACTGTAGTTTGGGCTAAACAAGCTGCAGCAGCATGTTGTTGCAGCAGAAGGCGGGACAGAAAGTGCTACTATACTGGCTGGATTCAGCTGGTCTTTGCTGGTCCAACCTTTTTGGAGCCTCATTGATATCAAAGATGTAAACCATTTTTATAAACTGCTACATGTTTGTGATTCCTTAAGCCAAAATGTGTGGATCTGCAGTTCATATCAAGTAACAAAACCTGTCTTTCAAAAATAATTTTAGCACTTGGCAGTGCTGCCAGTGGCCAGCAGATATACTTACTGAGCAAGGCTGGATTACAAAGTGGGGCAAGGCCCCAGGTTCAGTGTGTGGTTCGAACTGAAATAAACAAGACCTTAAAGGCATACAATGCAGGATTTTCGTTGCCATTTGTAAACGCACCATTCAAAGTCAGCCACTCCTCTCCGATAAAACAAGGTATACAGGGAGAGCTGGAACGCTGTTACCGAGAACAAAGCAGTGAATTAGAGAAATAAAATCATATTTTCTGATTTCACATTGGTTATGTTCTAAAGCGCCTCCGCACAGTCCTGCGGAAGGTGCTTGTTGCCAGGTTTTGTGCCAAAGTTGCACTGTCTGCTTTGTGTAGTTCAGCTCTGCCCTTGGTCAAACAGACACACAGACCACATAGAGCTATCTTCAAGCCTCCAACCCAAAGCTGCTTTCTATCTTTCTAGGCTCTGATTGGTTTTCATCCAGGCCCGGTGGATTCTTAGAAATACCATTAAGAGCAATAGGAGGAGCCAAAGTAACCTGATTTTTTCACAGATTATCTGTCTCATGTAGTACTCTCAGGATATAGGGAAAGTTTCAGCAAATATAACAAAAAATATTTTTTTATAAATGTTACCTACTGCAGCTTTAATCTGCCAATCTTCAGTATAGACAGTAATGGTATAAGTTAATCTCCTCAGACAGAGATCCCAGAGACTACATCTTGTCAAATACAGGTCTGTGGCCTGATGTGTATCAAATTGGGAGTCCAGGTTGAGAACCACTGCCTTATTAAACACCACACACTGCTGCATCAGCCCTTTAAGAAGGTAGAAACGACCTAGAACCACATTCACAAGTAAAGTTAATCTCAGGTCAAAAACTCTTTCTCTTTGTGTCCTCAGCAATCAGGGAGGAGCTGGGCAAGTCCAGCACAGCGTAGAGGATCCAGTCTACCCTCTTCACAATATCTACATCCACGTGACCCGACAGAAAACCACAGTCAATTTAAGACACGACAACACAACTGCGGAAAAATAAAATCCAACAAAACGGTTGAGACGGTGACGATGACAATAATCACATTTATCCTGAGAGAGGACGTTATTCGGGGGCAGAGCAGCATCGGACAGAACAACAAAGGACAGGGCGGCGGGAGGCTCGTAACTCTTGATAGCTGTTCTACGAAGGCTGCTGCCTCCCTGGCCCCACCTCCCCACCTCCCCTCCTCCTCCTCCTTCTCCTACTCCCCCCCCCCACCCCCCACTGAGGGCATCGCATCCTGGAGGACAGTGCACGGTCTGAAAGAGAAGCGAATGTCTTTATGCAAAGATGATTTTTCTCTCTTTGTCCTGTAATAACAAGAACAAAACACACAATATTGAACTCTTCGATGATACTGTATTAACCATTGGCGCATAAGCGATGCTAAGAATCAGAACTCTTGTGATTAACTATCAAAAGGCACGTTTTATTAAGAGAGGTTGGAGACAGGAAGAAGGCGGGGGATGGAAAATGAAAACTTTTTTTCCCATAATGCCATAGGGGTAGCGTGCGTGCGAGTGTGTGTGTGTGTGTGTGTGTGCGCGAGTGTGTATGGGGGACTGACAGTCTCTGGTGAGGTCCACCACTGCAGGACACTGTAAAGCTTGTCTTCCTCAAATACTATTTTAACCTGAATATGTACAAAAGAGACAAAAAGCTATTTAGAAAAAATCATATATCAACCATGTCTGTTTCAGTGTAGATCTACGGCCATATCAAGTAGCTCAATAATCCAACCTTTACACAGGACGCTCTCTCGTCTGTCTCCTCGTCTGTGGAATCATAACCAGAAGTGTTGTTTCCCTCCTGATGTGAGCGCTCTGACTGTGGAGAATCTTTGTCATTTCTTCACTCATGCTGTCCGGCGGCAGGTGGCGACGCGCGGAGGGCAGCTGCCTGTCAGACAGCAGCCGTTGTAGCTCTCTACCAAACTTTATCCGTCAACAGAAAGTGCTGATTTGCTAATACCCGTCATGATCGTTGACCATGGCCAGACGTGTAGATAGAACTGACTTCTCCTCCCGGTACATTTTCGATTTGAAGACTCTCTCTCTCTCTCCCCCTTTTTTCTGTCATGTTTGTCATATTTAGGTACCCCCCCGTTTGGTGCATGTATGTTGTTTTCTTCACACGGTGAGGGTCACAAGTCTGCCACGAAATTGCATTAACCATCACAAGTTTTTATTACAAGCAATAAGTGTAGCATCTATTTTAAGGCCCATATGCCCCAGTCCCGACACCACCAAACATTTTTCAGTGTCTTGTGTGTCCTTTTTGGCCCTCCTGAGGCCCCGTTGGACAATGTTACTGTGTGACGCCACGCCACCTCTTGTCAACTTTGTTGCAGTTTTTCCTGCGAGACTGAAAGGCTGACATGAAAGAATATCAGAGCAACACTGTAAGACATGATTTCATGGAATAACACCATTTCTAAATCACAATACTCCTTTTTTATTTTTTTTTCTATAAAATCCAAGGATACTGTATCTTTAGCCACATTGGAGCTGAACTGTTTTTATTTTTATCCTTTAGTTTTATTTTACCGCATTTATAAAACTTTTCAAATGTGCACAGGAAAACCCAAAAAGTGTAAGAGATGGTGTCCATACGAGGACATGAATGTGCCATTTACAATTTCACCAGTGCTTAGTGATGATGTGTTTGTTTCATCTTCTTTGCCTTTTTTTCTCCTGCCGCCGTCAAATCCTTAAAATGAGAAACTGTATTTACCCTGAGATTTTGGAGGGATAAGGGAACTGTCACTTTATTCTGAAAACACTTGTGTTTCAACGTTTCCTTCAGTTCGGTGCTGAGTTTGTTTTGCTAAAAGCTCAAAAGAACAATCAACTTGAGAGGGATGTGTTGGGAGCTGAGAGGCTGACGTCCTAATACTGGAGCTGTTTCTCCATGACCACATGTCAAGTTAACCAATAAAACGCTACAATTGATCTTCCTAAGTCCCGCCCTTTTTTTTCTGTGCTCCAGTAACAGTTGAGCACTTCCATATGCTATATGCTAGGCTAATCTATGTTGAAGAGACAACCGCATTTTGAAGATGGCTAAAAGAAAGAAACAACTTACATAGACATATAGATATAGTCACATCTTAAGTTAGCTAATTTTAGCACAATGCTAGCTCACTAATTTACTAATGTTTGATGTAAATTAGCTAGCTAGTTAGCCTGCGTTTTGCTAAAATTAGCTTTTACCTTACAGATGCAACTAGCTAGCTAACAATTGATGTAAATTTGCTAGCTAGTTAGTTAATGTTTTGCTCTGTAGCTAGCTAACTAGCAAGCTAAGGATTCATGTAGATTAGGAAGCTAGTTAGCTAGCATTTTTTGGTTTCGCTTTTATCTGTTTTTCAATATAGATTAGCCTAGCACATAGCATATCTAAGTACAGGAAAGGAGAAAGTTGGCCGAGGTTCTGACCGAGGCTTGCTAAACTGTTGGAGCACAGTGAAAAGGGACGGGGGCTTAGAAATTCTGACCCTGAGGAGGGACAGTAGGACTACAGTAGGGTCTGCTCTGCTCGTGAAAACAAACCTTTTGACGTTCTAAAGGATTTCCAAGCTGATCCGACACAAGCTGTAAAAGGATGCTTTGTGATTTTGCGTCTGCCGTGTGAATTTTCGTGATGTCTCGATGAACACCAACAAGGCAATACAGTGTGCACACTATCACCAGGGTTCACTCTCAATGTCACAGGTCTGGCTCCCCTGCAGCAGTAACCGTATTTCTGACTTGGAGGGGCACGCCGACAGTTTAACATTGCACCTCCAAAAAGTTGGGAGACTTGAAATAGACATATTTTGAAAAAAATAATAATCAGAATCAAATCAACAAAGCCCAAAATATACTGAATTTTAGTCCTACAATTCCCATAATGCAACTAATTAGTCCCTCCATGCCTGATAAATGTAAACATCTTTCAAACACTCCCAGTTTGTAATGCTAGATCGTAATGTCTCCGGGCCTAGGCCGAGGTTACCCTTGTGACATAACTATGACATCATTAGGGTTATTTTCTCTGACTGGACGAAGCTTCAGAATGAAACAAAAACCCTAACTCTTGTGTGTGAAATTGGTGGAGTGCCTCTTTAAGTTATGATTCGGGGACCAAGCTAAGGAGTTCCCATCATGCCTTTCTTGTGTCCTAGAGAAAGGTTTGTTAATCAGTGACTGTCTGTGGCTGTTCACATACAACACAACTGTGTTCAAGGGCTCAGATGTTATAACTTTGCTACTAAAGATGAGATATCACTGATCTGACTTTCAGTTTCTCTCGTGTGCTTTGGATCGGGCCAGATCTGTTAAATCCAGAGATGAGTTCAAGTTAATTTAATTCTGGTTCAGACATACAGATGCTGTAATCCTTTGGTTTGAGTGTGGACAGGGATTTTTGGCATCTTTTCAGATTTCAGGTCTGTTTCATCGAGTTCGTCTTTTCATCCACTTTTTTTATTTTTTTTTATGGAAACACCCAGCCATGAGGTTCCCTGTACTGAGTGTTTACACAGCATCGATTGCACTTTAAGACAAAAACCTGCAGAGCAATCCAACATACTCTGACAACAGTTGCTTAGAGCCTCTGTCGCCAACAGTGTGGCTATCTCACCAAAGGATTCAACTCGGCAGTCTCCTGCTAAACATAATCACTCTCAACAAAGTCGCCTTTCTTATTTTTGTATCATTTTGTCAAGAGAGCTAAAAAGAGGGAAGGTGTGTGTCTGTGTTCAGTCCTTTGGACGTGACGGCAGGTGAAATGTTTTGATCGAGAAAAGTTGATCTCTTTGTAAAGCTATGTGGTTTGTGCCTTGTTCCGAAGTTGCATTTAATATGTCAAAGATATAAAGATGACTAGTAATAATATCTAGGGACTGTCGTTATGATCACATGCAGTTGTTGTTTTTGTTTGTCTTTCTTTTTCTCCATCATGGTCATGATGATTTGAAGGGAGAGTTTAATGACCTTGGTACTGTTCCCCACCAAGAAAACATCTTTGCACCAACATCTTCTTTGTTTGCTTTCTCTTTTTTTTTTTTTTTTTTTTTTTAACATAAATGTGATTTATTTCCATACGGCTGTGAGGTTGCTTTTCTTACAGCTCAGAAGTACAATCAAACCTTTGAGACATGAGGCCTATAAGGGTTCTGAGATGATTTTTCTGAACCTAAAGTCCTGTTTGGAAGTCCAGATGAGTCTGGCTGCAGTGTTTTGTGTCCCCTCATGCCATTTAAATGTCACAGAGACTGTTTGTGTTCAGCAGCTTGGCTTTCTTCACACGCTTGGAAATCAGTTTTTGTCCTCTGCAGTGAGGTCTGCTCCATGTCGATGTCATGATTGCTGATTGAAACGTTTATCTTTGTCCGTAAACCCAGTTTTCTGCTGAGGGAACTGAAAGAATTTGAAGGAATGTTTGCGGAGATTAATTTGGCTGAAGCAAGTTTCGCGGATGGGTTTCCAGACTTATTCTTTTATCATCTGCATTGTACCATACTGTTCTCATGTTAATTAGTCTTTTCTTACATGCTAACATATTGTTTTGTTTGAGCAAATTAAATAAAAATTGCAATACAAGACTAAGAAGTTGTCTCTTTTTTACTATGTTCACCTTGAAACATTTTTCAGAATTTCCGCATGTTGTCTCACATGATCTCTCTTCAACTCTCAACTCCAGATAAGACTTCTATATGAAACTATAATTTACTAACTCACACTCCCTTTACTAACTCAAAAACTGGATTTAGTGTTAAGTTACTCTTTAAAGATTCCCTTCAGACATGTATGGAAAAGTATAATTTCCACATTAGAATACTTAATCTTATCCTAAATCCTGTAAAGTCTATTCTCAGTGGATGTGCACTGTTGGAGCATACTGGACCAGGACTGACTTCCAAACTATTTTGTGATGTCACAAATCCTGCTGGTAGGCCCCACCCCTTAAAATCAGCTTTCCAATGAGCACAGAGAAACTTCCCACTTTCAGCAGATGAAATGATGTCTCACTTAAAGTGAATAAAGACTTTGAATTCCCTGCAGGCCTTATTCCCTCCTCTGTGTGCCCACATCTTTCTCTACGCCAGGTCAACCTGTGTTTCGCAGCCCAGTCGCTGTGACAACATGTCTGACTGTTCCACATTCACGCTCAGTGGAGGAGAACAGGAAGAGGAAGACTAACTGAAAATGTGACGCTTTTTTTTCTTCAAGCCTGCACCGTGTGCTTGCCTTTCTGCAGTTGTGCCGTTAGCAAGCTTTGTGAAAGGACGACAGCACTGAGGTTGAGACCAAGATTTGAAGCTGTGGTTTGCACTTTTTACACTGACGCAGGATTTTACACAGAATCTCCCCTCCAGAGTCAAATACGTCGCACCTGTTCAATGTCTTTATCTCTTTTGATTGTGTAAAATCAGGGTTTTGTCATTTGTTTCCGCTTTTACGCAACTATTTGTTTTCATTTTGGCTTCTGTGTACTTGCAGAAGCTTTCCATCTAATGCAGCATGTATGATGTGAGAGAGACAGGTTGAACAAAGAGGAGAGCTGAGGGAGAGGGGAGGGAACTGTGGAAAGCACCAGGAAGGGGGTGTTAAGAGTATTCTTTATTTTTATGCTCACAAGTGACTCATGTACAGCCAGCGTGTGCATTTAAATAATGCATGTTTTAATCCTTTTCTTATTATTTGAAGGGTTTATATCACTGATACCTGATAAATAATAAGAATAAAGGATTTTTGGATTTGCATATTTGGGTTCATGGATATGGTATTTTGCATATTCAATTATGTATATTTCTCTCTGTTTAATTTAGTTAACATTGTGGAAGCCAAAAAGTTGATTCTCTAAATATAAATATCAGATTTTCTGTTATTAGTTATTCATTTCATAATCATCTCATAAAGTTTCTGGATGAGACTCGAAAAAGCTGAAGTCACCAAAAATCTAACACCTTAAGTTTGCAGGATAAGACTGTGTTTGAGATTAAAATAGGCTTCCCGCACTTTATTGGTTGTCTGCGAGCTGCTTCACTTTTACAAGAGCAGCACTTCCTGTGGGCGGGGCATAGAGAGGTCTGGCAGTACATCTGCAGTTCATCTGAGGTTTTGTTTGACTTGCAGCCAGAAAGGGGCTGTGCTGCGCTGTGGCGAAAGCTACACTAAACACAGGAAAACACCCTGAGCTATGCAGAGAGAAAGACGAGGAAGCTGAGAAAAACCTTGATGCTGTAATTGGATTGGAGAGTTTGAATTTTCAAAATCAGTTTTCTTCCTCTTGCTGTGTTTATGAGCTTTGGGTATATTTGAGCGGCAGGTGTGAATAATGTGTCAACAGTCAGGTCTACCAGAAGCATATGCAAATAAGACACGGCCTGCAGCTGTTACTGACTCCCATCTTCACTTGGCTCACTGCTGGAGGCAGTTTGATGCAGTCACTTTAAACTGATGGTGCACTTTCCCACAGAGAGGCTCTGGATTTAATGATGAACAGTAAGGTTGTGAGGTGAAATTAAATATAACTCACTTAAACTGAAACGTTTTGTTCTGAAGCACTTTGGAGGGAGACTTAAGGGTGCAGAGCCTCGTAATGTCTACTGTGTTTATGGTATTGAGATGATGAGGAAATATTCTGATCACAGCGAGAGTTGTTATCTACATTTTTAAATATAGTAGGGAACATATTAGATGTATTGGTTCCTGCTTTGTTGTTGAGATGACTTTTTTTTTTTTTGACAAAACTTTCACTTTTTGATGCATGCTTTCCTCAGCATACCAGACATATGAGGACAGTTAATTGCTTACTGTGCAACATTGTGCAAAAGAAGTGTCTTTTATGTATTTAGTAACTGTACTATGATAAATGCCTCACATCTAAACACTGTGCAACACAGGTGCAGCCTATACTGACCCCACCAAGTGATTTAATGCGTCTGTCCCCAGAGCAAACAATAAGTCGTAGAGTACCATTATGATAACAGCTTTCCTCCAGAAATATGGACAACATACAATTCCCTCCTCTCTTTGTTTCAGCTTTTATTGGACATAAAAAAAAAACACTTTTGCCATGAGTATAAAATATAAGAATGGATATAAACAGACTGAATTGGCCAAATTCAGTTGATTTTCATTCAATGTCACCAAAATTCTGCTTATATAAAAGGCTACATAATTAAATATAGTGGGAATTAGTATATGTTTATATTTACATTAATATACAATGCAATTTCTTTTAATAATACATTTAGTGGATTTATACTATTTGACTATTTTCTATGACATTATTTTATTTTAATGTGTATCGTTAGTTAGTTTAGTATGTGATATCTGCTTTTGGCGCTTCTACCATTTTGTCTGACGGTAATTTTACACCAGTAAACAAAGTAGTCGTGACTCCCTCAAAGCCAATCGCAACACAGTTAAAATCCACCGATAGCCAATGAGATTGCAGAGCTGTTTGAAATGAACGCTGAGATATCCAATCAGCGGGCTTCGCGCCTTTCTAGTCACTGGTGGGTTTTGCCCAGAGAGGGAGGGAGAACGAGCTCTACGTCAAACGTGAGGAAAGTCGGTTTTTAAAATATTAAGATTAATTTATTAATTCCTCGTCTTGTTAAGGAATATCTTATCACTGTTACTCACTGGAATTAATCGCGTAGTTTTAAGGTAAGTGCAGCCGTCCAACGCATATATTTGTGATGCATAATAACAAATCGCTTTACGTTTGCCTTTGTTGGGAAACTGGGGCTTAGCCAAAGCTAACTCAAGCGGTATAACGGCGCTCTAGGCTCCGACTAGTTCCTGAAATCTGAAACTTGTTTCCACTGGTCTAAGTAAAATAATAAGGCTATATCATGTGCTGGCGACGTCCTGTATAACAGCTTATAGTTGTATTGGACATGTTTGATAGTTCTGGTCAGCAGCATTGTTACGTTAACTGAGTTGTAACTGTACCGTTATGGACGCGCAATGCGCTAACATAGAGATTAACGACGCTCAGGAACTAGACTGTGCCTGCTTAGTTAAAGATAACCTTTATTAGAGTGTAACCCTAACGCTACCTCAGTCGGGGGTTTGAATCCATGGTTACCATATATTTAAAACCTTGTCCCGGGGTAACGTTACTGTGAGTGAAGTAGTTTGGCCGAACTTTATTGTGCTGACGGGTTGACGGGTTGACTGTTTGACGTATGCCAACAGTATTTGAATGCATGACGTTTTCCCTCCTTTCCTTTCTGTCGCCTGCAACTGCATCACGGCTGTCTTGAAGCTAACAAAGCTAACGTTAGGGGCAGTTTGTTAAAGAAACAGCTCCTTTACATTACAGTTGAGTTGTGGTACAAAGGGCATAACGCTTAATTACTGTTATTCAAGAAAACAAACCAAGCTCGAATTCGTAGGTCAAGCAGTGACATATGCCATTATGGACGTGAGAGTAAACGCCGGCAGATACCTTTTAACAAAATAATAAATAAAGGTGCTTTAAGTTCGTCGTAATAATGCTATAACGCATTGGAAATTGCGCAGGAGATAATACAAGTCCAAGCAAAGCTGTCACAAAAGAGCAAGCATCTCCCATTGACTCAGTTTATTTTAAAGCACAACGTTAGTTTACATTTGTTGCTTAGTGTTACTAGATTGTGATGGTTTCCATTAGATAGTCCTACATAGATAACAGAGGGTGTTGCGACTTTACAGTACATAAAGTTGACATTTGAGGGCGCATTAATATAGGAGTAAAGTCTGTATTGCGGTGAGTGATCTGCCTTATTCCCAGTGCCGGTTTTTCAGATGTATCCTACCGCTGTGGAACGTTAACACAACAGGTTAACGCCTCTTTGGTAGGATCTTACAACTTAACACACACATTACGTTTCAAAGCAGCTGCATACCAGGTGGAGCTAAACAGCCCTTTTCAGCACAAAGGGGGGATGTCTGCCTGACTTTTATTTAAAACTCCACCCACGCTACAGCTCTGATCCTTTCATCAGCCCAGCCTGAGATCTGATGGGAAACTCTCATCAGTCACGATTCAGATCTGACTTCCACATCCCATATGGAACTGGGCAGGGGAGCCAGGAGAGCAGCACAGGGACTTGCTTTGGGTGTGTCATATTGAGATGTTTTTCACTCTGATGTTGTGGATTTTGTGTGATCAGTTACCAGTGGATTGGGGCTTGACTGTGTATGTTTGATTCTCCCTGCCTATTTGTAGTAATCCTGGTGAGCCGACTTCTCCCTGGCCTTTGCTGTAAATCACTTGAGTTATTGTTTGTTTAAAAAGGCTTACAAGATATTTATGAAGTACACATTGGGTTTTAATTGCACAGTAGAGTGGTTTAGTAGTCAACACTCAGCTGAGCTGTCAGATTTAACATGAAGGGGTTGTAAGATATGTGAATGGTGCTTCATTTCTCAGTGTAGTGGAAAACTTGTGTGAACCTTTTCTACACGCTACCTGCCGTTTATTGAAGCATGGCGCTGTGTTAGCCACTGGAATTTTAATTAGCAAGGCTGCTGACAGGAAGCTGTCATTATGTTATGGGGCTAAAACTGTCACCACTAGAGAACTGGACGTAAAGACCTAA